GATACAAGTAAGAAGTGGGGGAGAACCGGCTGGCCGGGAGGAGGTTGGGGGAAGTGGGCTGGCTGGAGGGGCAGCGGGAGGGAGCGAATTGGCCGATGGGGAGAGGGACTGACCCGGATGCAGGCAGATCTCAGGGCACTGTCCGGCCTGCGCACAGTCCTGGCGAAGCACGAGTGAGTCCAGCCCCGGGGATTCCATTTTGCCCTTCCCACACGCCCCCTCGAGTAGTTGCGTACTGTCTGGCTGGTAGACACGCTCTTGGCTGGAGGGGCAGCGGGAGGGAGCGAATTGGCCGATGGGGAGAGGGACTGACCCGGATGCAGGCAGATCTCAGGGCACTGTCCGGCCTGCGCACAGTCCTGGCGAAGCACGAGTGAGTCCAGCCCCGGGGATTCCATTTTGCCCTTCCCACACGCCCCCTCGAGTAGTTGCGTACTGTCTGGCTGGTAGACACGCTCTCACAGCCTGAGCACATCTACCAGCCACGCAATTCGCAACTACAAACTGATACACCTAATAATAAAACTTACCTAATGAGAAAATACCAGACATTTTATATGTCCGATATTTTCTCAATTTGTTTCCCGGACAGAAGCCTCAAATACCGGACTGTCGGGTACAAAACCAGACACCTGGCAATCCTACCCCTCTTTGCACCCTCCCTCCTAGCCAGATATGTTACCCCCAGACTGCTCCTGTTCCTGCCTCCCAGAGTGCCTGTGCGGCACCGGGTCCCCCAAACCCTGGCCCGGGTTGGGTGGAGGATGCAGCCGGGTGAAACAGTGAACATGTATTCATTTTTCATTCTTTTTTAGTATGTGGTTATATTTTTGGGCTGTGAAAAACAGTACTGAAAAAAACCCCCAGCTTCCAACTAAAGTAAAAAGTTTGGGAAACTCTGGTCTAGCCAGCTTTCAGTCCATTTATCCAATCCATAACTTGCTGGCAGAACACTGTAGGTGACCATATCAAAAGCTTTGCTAAAGCTGGCACTGGGGGCTTCGGGAGGACCAGAAACAACTTATTTGAATATTCATCATGTGCTTAATGAATATGCAAATATATGTTACCAGTCCTCCAAAAGCTCGTGAATGGATTTATTGGTCCCTACGTCAAAAAGTTTGGGAATCCCTGGTTTAGAGCAATAAACATGACTCCTGCTGCTCCCCTGAGCACATGCAGGGGCTGGAAGGCAGGGACCCTGGCTAAGGAACCTTCTGGGCTGCTGGCTGGGAGCCAGGTAAGGTCTCCCAGCCAGATGCCCTTCCCTCCTTCCACCAACCCTCTGACCCCCTTCTGCCCTTCTACCCCATACTACCAAACCTTCTGCACCCCTGCTCCAGCCCCCATACACTTTCCCAGACACTGCATCCACTCCTACACCCCTCCTCAGGTCACAACCCCCTCTTAGACCTTGCACCCAATCCACCATCTCTGGTCACAGCCCAAATCCCTGTAGCACCTTAAGAGTAACAAACAGTATTATGAGCTTTCATGGGCACAACCCACTCCTTCAGCCAAGGATAGTGTTAATTTTCTTTTTGATTTAATATAAAATCATCATAAACATCGCTCCTTGTTAATTATCACGTTTTAATATATTTTCTTGCACACCTATGGACTATTTAAAATATATATTTATATCTATAGTTGTTTGTACTGGTGGGTGTACATCCACACACTACCTCAATTAGTGTTGCTTGTGTAACCCTGAGTGGGCTAGACTTCACTGCCCTTTTCCAGTATCTAAAAAACCCCCACTCCCACTGCAGTACTGGAGACCCAGAGTTTAGTCTGTAAGGAATTTCAGCAAGGATTGCCCCGTCAGCCTCCCTACATTCAAGTTCCAAAAACATTAATTTAATTAAATAACTTTATAAAATTTTATTAACAAATAATCTAATTCTTACAACACAACACAGCTATTTTATACCCCACAAATATCTATCACTACAATAAACATAAGTAAAGAGAAAACTAAAAGTGAAATTTGAACAGTTCAGTCCACACAAAAACAGTAAGAAAAAACAGAACTATGTAGCACTTTAAAGACTAACAAGATGGTTTATTAGATGATGAGCTTTCGTGGGCCAGACCCACTTCCTCAGATCAAATAGTGGAAGAAAGTTGTCACAACCATATATAGCAAAGGATACAATTAAAAAAATGAACAAATATGAAAAGGACAAATCAAATATCAGAACAGAAGGGGGATGGGGGGAAGGTAAATGTCTGAGAGCTAATGATATTAGAGGTGATAATTGGGGAAGCTATCTTTGTAATGGGTAAGATAATTAATGTCTGTTTAAACTTAGGCATAAAGTGTCAAATTTAAGCATGAATGTCAGTTCAGAGGATTCTCTTTCAAGTAAGACCACACTTGATAAAAGACTCTTCAATGTGGCAGACAAACTTATTCCAATATCTAGTGAATGGAAAATGGAGGCAAACAAATTCAGACTAAAAATAAAGTGGAAAAGTTTTAACAGTGAGAGGTAATTAATCCTTGAAACAATTTATCAAAGGCGGTGATTGAATCTTCATCTCAGGAAATTGATAAAGTCAAAATTAGATGCTTTTCTAACAAAGATCTGCTCTAGTTCAAACAGGATTTAATTCAGGGAAGTCCTATGGTTTGTTATACAGGAAATTAGACTTGATAACTGCAATGGTCCTCCTTTCTGGCTTTATAATGTATTAAAGGTCACATATAGGCTAAGGAAGAGGAAATGATCAGAACTCATTCCTCACAAATCTCAGTGGGATCCAGCTGTAAGAAGTAGGAATTTCTTCCTGCTCAGAGGCACAGACCTTACATCTAGTCACTTGGAATCATGTGTTTACTAGAATACTTACCCAACATTGCTCAGGTCCTTCAGGGCAGGGGCAGGAGTCAGGGAAGGGGCTTAGGGGCTCAGGGCAGGAGGCTGGAGGTGTGAGGGTGGAGGAGTCCGGGAGTTTAGGAAGGGATTCAGAGCTGGGGGATCCCACAGTCACAGGGAAGGGGTGGGAGTTGGGAGATGTGAGGATGTAGGACACAGGGAGTTGGGGTGGATGCTGAGAGGGCATGATGGGGACAGCTTGTGGATATGTGTGGCAGAGCAAGGGATGGGGGGCAGATCTGGGGCAGCAGTGGCTCTGTGGCGTGCCTGGGGCAGAGGGGACTGCACAGCCTGACCCCCAGCTTCAGTCCATATGGCCCGGCCGCTGGTTGCTCCCTGGGAATGGCTGGGCTGCACAGGGTGGGTTAAATGTTTAGTTTCATTAGTCCTGGGATGTACACATACCATCTGCAAAAGCCAGAAATTCAAAATGGGAAAATACACAGTAGGATGCCCAAAGGTAAACGTTATCACAATGTTTACCTTAACACATTTTCAAGCCCCCCTTCTAAATGCTGGTATTGAAGAATTCCCCCAAAATAGCTCAACATCCTTTCTGCTCTGTAATAGTTGGGAGCTGTGCCCCCTCTACAATGAATCCATATTTTTGTTCCTCGGTAATTTTTAAGAGTGGCTTGCCATCTAAAATCCATGATAGAAAACAGTTTCATTCGATACATAGAGCAATTGAAAAAGCTGTGAACAAGTTAGAGGTTGATCTCCATCCATCCTGTTAATTTCATTACACAGAGAATATACATTAAAATGAAAACACCCACAGCATGAAAATTATTTGTAGTTTATTTGAAGGCAATCGATACAAACATCATTTGTGCAAGACCAAGGGAACTTGTTTTTTACATACTCAAGAAATGATTTGCTTTCATAGCCGCATTTAAAAAAATAAAAGCCATGCATCACTGTTCCCCACTTCCCCATACCTTTTCAGGTGTTTACCAGTTGATGATCTGGCACAATTCTCTTGAAATCTGTTCCTAGTCCTGCTCCACCATGACACAGTAGACAAAAAGCAACTGAAGACTGGATGTGAAGTCAGGGGACATCTTTCAAGACACAGATGTTTGAACATCAAACAAAATTAGAACAGCCTATTTGGTTTCCTCTCTATTGTTTGATTTTCATTTGTTTTTTAACCCACTATCTCTCTCCACATTATCCTGGGCTGCTGCAACTGTCACAGCACCTAACCTTCTTGTCAGCAAAGCAAACTGATCCCTTTTCTCCAGAGTTAATCAGAAGCTGTTATTTCTGGACAGCATACTCCCCTCAGAAATCCAGCACCTTATTGTTGCAGTGTGCCCAAACCTTCCCAATCTGGGGAAATGGGAGCCCCAAATCTGCTGCTGAGTCTAGGTCTCAGGCATGGTAGCACTATTCACTGCTAGTGCTCTGCAGAACCAGCTCATCAGCCAAGCTTTTGATTCTGAAATAAAGTATCTGCCTAACACATCACATAAATCAGGTGTTCATCTGTTGTTGAACAGCCTTCCTGAAAAGTATTGCTGGTCTGCGAACACCTCCAAGCTTCTGTTGCCCTCTGTTTGCAGGTCCATATCTGAAACAAGTGGCTCCCTACAATCAGATATGGCAGAGTCTATACTGTTAGTCCTGATGGCATGCTTGTTGCTAAAGTCCCAGTCTTGAAAGTCTCCTGTCTGGTTGCATCCATCTTCACTTGGCTGGTCCAGAAGAGCTTGGTATGCTATGTCTGAGAGGGGAAATGTGCGCGGTTCCCAAGGTTGTACACTCGGTGGGAGTGATGTGGAGAGAGAGAGAGACAATATGATTGGTACAGAAAAACTAGAGTTAGCAATTACAGGATATGACAATATTCATTCTCCCTACATGCCCAAAAAGACCTCACACTTCAGTTTAAACCTCAAGCTCTTTTCTCTGGAGCAGGCTGCTGGAGTAATGTGGACAATTTCAAAGAGCAAAAGGAAGTCATGCAGCAGAGAACTGATAGGCAAGTTTGCATTTATATGCTTAGTCCCAATGAATCATTTTTCCTGTTGGGATCACAACTTCTTCACTTTTGGGTTCTATTTACCTCCCTGGATCTTTGAGAAAGTTCTTCCACAATCCTAGTGACTTCCAAAGACATTTTAAAAGTGAAATTAGTACCTGTTCTTAGAACAAGATTGGCACCAAAAGTAGTAATGAGATTCTTCAATCTCAAATGCCTCATCTGGAAGGATGATGAGAAAGGAATTCAGTCCCTATGGTACACTCAGTCATAGGTGCCGACTCCATGGGTTCTCTAGTCCTGGTGCCTACAGGTGGATAACTGTTTCTTCCATTTCCAAACCACTGACCAACATGACTCGAGACACTTAAACTGAGCTCATTCATTGACAGTGCATCACAAACTAAATCTGATCCTGAGTTTTAAAAACATCCGGTGGGTGCTAAAGAGCTCTTAACATAGCATTATGTTTAGGTTTATTATGTAGCAGTACATGCAGATTCTATATTACAAAGGGACATATGCACTGGAGTAAGCTTCAACATACATAAATGTGTATGTATATATAATGTTAGGATGTATCTAGACTGGCAAGTTTTTCTGTAAAACTTGCCAGCTGTCTACCCTGGCCACTTGAATTTCCGCAAGAACACTGACTTCTTACTGTCTGAAATCAGTGCTTCTTGCGGAAAAACTATGCTGCTCCCGTTCGGGCAAAAGTCCTTTTGCGCAAAGGGACCAGTGTAGACAGCTCAGATTTGTCTAGATTTTGCGGAAAAGCGTCCGTGCCAATCTAGACGCTCTTTTCCACAAATGCTTTTAACGTAAAACTTTTCCGTTAAAAGCATTTGCGGAAAATCATGCCAGTCTAGACGTAGCCTTAGTGTGATGTCACAAATTTATTTTGACTTTGCTGCAGAATCAGGAAATACTGTTTCAATACAAAGCTTTGCCATCTCCAAAGAAATTCTGTGACTGTCACATGAAACCGAATGCCAGTGCATGGTAAAGAGGTGGAGCAAATCTAAACTAAATTCCAGTGCACTGTAAAGTCAAGAAAATCAGTGGCTAACCATGCCCCCCTGCGACTCCCAAAATCATGTCTCTCTGGTTCACTGCTACCCCCTTTGTTTCCTTATAGGGTTTGTTTGTTTTTTGGTATACGTTCAAAATTGGTCTTTCAAACTGAAAAGAACTTTTAAGTTTTCCAATATTGTAGCCTTGCTGGTAATGTGTTTTACTGGATAACTATCTGTTGGTGAAAGAATCAAGCTTTTGAGCTCCACAGATTTGAAGAGAAGCTCACCGGCGCTCAGAAAAGTTTCTTTCATTAATAGAAGATGGTCCAATAAAAGATATTACCTCACCTACTAGTCTCTGAAGAACTTTTACAGCAGTTGTGAAGAACTCATTCTCAGTGAGTACAAGATGGATTAAACATGTCATGCTTTCAGCCCTGAATATACAAAAGCTGGCCCCCCACAAGCACCAGATCCTGCAGAGCCACAAACGGCAGGGAAGAGGGCTTTACAGGTATGTGTTATCTGGAAACTGTTGTGTGTTTTGAGCTGCTGCTATTCATTGCTTCAGTATTTTGCCAGTTTAACCATAAAGAAACCCCTGGAGTAACGTCTCTCACCTGTATTACTTCATCTAATATTTCTGGGGAGAATTTGGTGTTTTCAGTGCAGGACAGCAGCACTCTGGGCCTGTTCTTCATGGAGAGGGGTTTCAGAATGTTACAAGGCTCAGGGTTGTGAAATCCTTGAGACGAGTGCATGTAGAGTTCATTAAGGAAATTAAATCCAGAATCAGGAGATGCTGGCTGAGGTGTCCACTGACCATCTGCTTTGTTGGAGGACCTAACAAAAACAACACAATTATTGAAGGGCCAATGTTGACAACAATAAATGGCTATAAAACTGGCCATCAGTAAGTTCTGGCTTGCAATCAGACACATTTCTAACCAGCAGAATAGCAAAGTTCTTGAAACAGCTTGTCAAGGGGAGTAGTGAGAGCAAAAAAACCTAACTTTGTGAGCTTGCTTATTTTATGGAGGGGATGGAATTAGCTTAATAGCATATGGCAATTAACAGTGCAAGTATCTCCAATGGCTGGTTATGGGACTGTAGAGTGGGAGGGCTCTGAGTTACTACAGAGAATTCTTTCCCAGGTGAGTGTCTGGTGGTCTTGCCCACATGCTTAGGGTCTAACTGATCACTATATTTGGGGTCAAGAAGGAATCCCCCCTCCCCCACGTCAGACTTTTTTTTGTCTGCCCTTGCAGTATGGAGCACAGGTCACTTGTGGATTTGAACTAGAGAAAGTGGGGGATTCTCTATAACTTGAAATCTTTAAATCAATATTTGAAGACCAGTAACTCAGCTAGAGGTTATAGGCCTATTCCAAGAGTGGATGGGTGAGATTCTGTTGCTTGCAACGTACAACAGGTCAGACTGATAAGCATGATGGTCATTTCTGGCCTTAAAGTCTGAGAGATAAAGGAATATAACGAGTTAACTAATATGGAAGTCAAATAAAACTAAGCCACTGCTGTGACACTCCCCCCTCCATATTTTTATGGAATTATGTTTAATATTAATATACATAACCTGAATATGCTTTATGCAAAAAAGATCAAGTAACCCATCGTTCAAGAAATTCTTGCTTGCATTCCTTGCTCACAGTGTTATTCAGAAATTGATACCTGCTTCCTCGCTTGTGGGAAACTGCCACTGCCCATGAATTCCATCGGGCTCGTTCAAGCTCCTCATACTTGGTGTGATGGTTCAAGTATGTCTCATCAGAAGTGTCTTCCAGCTAGGAAAAAGAACAAAGCTAGTTTCCCTCTAATACTCAAAAGAGGACATTGTCTTCAGGGTGACACTACTGTTTCACCAAGTATAGACAGCAAGACCTACTGGATGATTCTTGAGAAACCACAGTCTCTGTTTCAAAGAAGATTAAACTGCACACAAGGATTCTTCAAAAATAAACTAGAGTTAGTGTTCTCATTGGTGGATCAAATGCTGTACACTTCTCAGGTGGAAAACACATAGGAGTGCTATGAAGAGAGATCAGAAAAAATGCTGCTTTGCAAGTTAGAGATTTTTTTCAATGTTTCATTGAAACATTTTATGTATGGTTAAACGTTACTCTTTTTGCTTTAGGTTTGGCTGGTCAAAAATCACAAAATCTGCTGTACGTGACCTATTATCTTGTATACAGGCAGTCCCCGGGTTACATGGATCCGACTTACATCGGATCCCTACTTACAAACGGGGTAAGGCAACCCTGCACTAGATGCTTCCCCCCAGCAGACCAGGGAGACGCGACGCTAGCGCCCCACCCCCCCC